TGAACCGCTGAAGAAGAGTTGGATTCAAGGTATTTGCGGACGAGATTTTCATTCGCTTCACCAATTCAGAGTTTCTGGGTTTTGTGATGAACAGAGAGAACTAGTGAGATAAGCTGGTCAAATGTCTTTGTGGGTTTGAAAATTCACCTTTTGATCCTTGAAATTTTGGTCCAACGGTGATGGATGAGCACTGGAATAGTGTAGGCCAACCTTATCTAGTTCGATTCCCATGTATGCAGTGCATAGAATTCGTCTTTTTTACCCTTATTTTTCACGCAAACACATATCAGAATCCTATCTGTTAAACTGATGAGTTCATTCGAAGATTTACGTCTTCTTGTTCCTATTGTGAAGATAAATAATAGATGGAGTTGATGTAGAACATCACTTGGCACTTGGTGATTATCCTTTTAGGCCAGAGGAAACCGCCCTTCATTTCACAATGTAGAAATGTTTGAACGTTATGCTTATCAATCAATTGAGGATGTCTATAGTGCATTGCTGAATGAAATTTGATCAAGATTCTTCATTATTCCTATCTATGATTTCTTTATTACAAGTTTTTTAATACCGGTTTTCTGATAGACTGATAACATTCTGAAAGTAGCTTGCTTTCAGGTGTAGTGGGGGCTGGAGTGGCTGGAGTTGTTTTGGTTGCTGGGCTAAGCTATGCAGCAACGTCTCTCAGCAATCGTAACACTTCCAGTAAGTGCAAATGTGTTTTTTTTTATCTTCTAATATAAGACTGTGAAATCTTGTGTCTCAGATTTTAAGCCATCTGTCTTCTCTTTGACGGGAGATTTTAAGTCATCTATGATTCTATATCATTCATGTGTTGAGCTCAGGACCAAAACAGGAAATGCAGCCCTTGACTACCCAGCAGGAAACCACACTTCTGTCTGCTGATGAAAATGTTAACGATGATGATTGTGAGGAGAATGATGTAAAGTACGAGGATAGGGAGACAGAAAACAAGACGGATGTAGATCAGCCTTTTTCTCCTACTGAAGGTGATGAGGCTACTGGTGAAACTAAAACAACACTTGGTGCCGAGTTTTCGTCATTTGATGGTGTCGATAACACAACTGATGGCACAGATGTCACTGGCAGCATCTCCTCGCAAGATAAGCTCGAAACAGATATGATCCACTTGGAATCTGATCCACAGACATTTGCAAGTGAGTTAGAATTCTCTGAAACTGTGGCTGCTTTAGAGTCATCATCTGAAGCAAATATTACAAGTTCAGAAAGTAGCAATCCTGTTGATTCAGAGAAACTGACTTCTGATAATCCTGACGGCCTTCTAAACACCGAACCAACCAAAATGTCTGGCCCAGAAGAGCTTGACACTAAGCAAGAGGAGCCTACTCTATCGTTTTCGTCTGATGTAACTGCTTATGTGACTACTCAGACTGAAACCATTAGCATTTCAGTTGATTCACAGTCAGGATCAACTTCAGATCCTCAGGTTGTGCCTCTGAGTAATATGGAGACTGCTTTCTCAACTATTACTGAAGAGTTTCCCGAGGTAAACAGAACTCCAGAAGACATGGTTGAGAGAAGTACATCATCCATGGAAGCAGCATATGTGTCCAGTGATCAACTAAACACAAGTAGTCCATTTGAGAATAACGAGAGCAGACCACCTTCTGAAATTCCATCTCGTGGAGTTGCATATTCTCCTGCTGGGATTCCTGCCCCTTCTGTTGCTATCCAAGTACATCCTGGGAAGATTCTTGTTCCTGCATCTGTGGATCAGGTCCAGTGTCAGGCACTAGCAGCTCTGCAGGTTCTGAGGGTAATATTTGCTTTTGTTACTTGGCCTTTCAAGATGTTGGTTTGTGTCCCTAGAGATTTGCTCTGGCCCAACACTGAAAATTTGCACTCTGTAATTCCATTTGTTATACTTTTCAGGTTATTGAAACTGATGCTCAAGCCAGTGATCTATGTACACGCAGAGAATATGCTCGCTGGCTGGTGTCTGCCAGCAGTGCTTTATCGAGGTATATTTTTCATGTTGCTGATGCATTTTGTTGGGTTTTAATATTTAACTGTAGTTTCTATAAAGTAATTTCTGAAGTCTATCTATGTCCCCTAAATCTTATGTAGAAACTCAGCATCAAAAGTGTATCCTGCTATGTATATAGAGAATGTTACTGAACTTGCTTTTGACGATATTAGCCCTGAAGACCCTGATTTTTCATCCATCCAAGGTAATTTGAGCGAACACTGTATTTTGAGTTCTTACCGAAACACATATTTACCCTGTGAAGCTTATTCCATAAACGTTTTTCAGGCTTGGCAGAAGCAGGACTTATCGCTAGCAAGCTTTCTGATAATGATTTGCTTAATGATGTTAAAGGTCCATTCATATTTTCCCCTGAAAGGTAGTTGTGTTACTGGTGACTCACCACCCTGTGAAATATCTCTTTTCTTCATGTGTTTCTTCCTTCTGTGGTCAACCCCAATTTTTGTATTGTTATGGCCATATCCTATCATAAACTTTTGCCAGTAGAGCATAGTGCTTTGTTTTGAATACTTGTCAAGCCATGTGACAAAAAAAACTTATCTCTATTCTATTTGTAATTTAGTCTCACATTCTGCTTTTGAGGTTTTGTTTTACATTTCGTATTTCAGACTATTTCTTCTAATGTTGTGGATTTCCTTTTAATGGTCACGATATAAAATCTAAGTAGGTGTCATTATATTGTATACTGAGAGAGTCTGATATATTGCTTCCACCTTATTTGATTCTCACAATTGCTTCTATGTCCATGAATATATTTCATATTTATGGTGAGGTACAGTTATTCTTACTTGAGTTTTTCCAATGCATAGTCCTCTATCACGTCAGGACCTTATAAGCTGGAAGATGGCATTGGAGAAACGACAGCTTCCAGAGGCTGATAAAAAGGTTTCACTTTTTAAAGCTTAGTTCTTGGCCCTTTTCATCCCGTAATTTTGTGGTTAACCTCAGATTCACTTCTTGTCGCAGGTGCTGTATAAACTCTCTGGTTTTATCGATATCGATAAGATAAACCCAGATGCGTGGCCAGCCCTTATCGAAGATTTATCTTCTGGGGAACAAGGAATTGCTGCCCTTGCTTTTGGTATGCTTAGATCTCACTTATGGTCGTACCCTCTCCCACTTACATATTTTTTTTCCCGTAATAATGATCATATTATTCAAAAATCTTTATAGGATGTACAAGATTATTTCAGCCAGATAAACCCATTACAAAAGCCCAAGCTGCCATTGCTCTTGCAAATGGCGAGGCCGCCGACACAGTCAACGAGGAGTTGGCACGCATCGAGGCAGAATCAATGGCTGAAAATGCCGTGTCTGCCCATAACGCCCTTGTGGCAGAGGTCGAGAAGGATGTCAATGCCAGCTTCGAGAAAGAACTTTCCATGGAACGAGAAAAAATCGAGGCGGTGGAGAAAATGGCAGAACAGGCCAGACTAGAGTTGGAGCAGCTGAGAGCACAGAGAGAGGAAGAGAACACACGCTTGTTGAAGGAACGAGCTGTGATAGATTCTGAAATGGAGTTGATCTCGAGGTTAAGACGTGAATTAGAAGAACAGCTGCAGGACGTCATGAGCAACAAGGCAGAGATTTCTTTTGAAAAAGAGAGGCTTTCCAAACTCAGCAAAGAGGCCGAAGACGAGAACCAGCGGATTTCGAGGTTGCAGTATGAACTGGAAGTTGAACGCAAAGCCCTGTCAATGGCCAGGTAAAACAATACCGTTAAAACAATCACTACTTCAAAAAATTTTATAATATTAATGATAGTTAAAATTGCAATCCATTATTATAATATTATTCTAGATAAAAGAAGTATAAGTCATACCATAAAGTCAAAATGCTTCCCCTAAGGTCTGATCCAATCAAAGTTTCAGCTGTATTACTGTTTATGACGGCAAAGTATATGACCATTTTGATATCAACTGTTGAAATAGAGAGAGCTCTTTCATCTGCCCTTCAATATACTTTGTATTGGTTATTCATCTGAGTGGTGGGTCTTTCTGTGAAGGTCATGGGCTGAGGATGAGGCAAAAAGAGCCAGAGAACAAGCTAAGGCCTTGGAGGAAGCCAGACAGCGATGGGAATCAAAAGGGGTTAGGGTAATAGTCGATGAAAACCTTCAAGAGAAGGGCAGGACAGATGAAGAACAAGGCATGTGGCTAAAAGTCGGGGAGCGAGTCTCGGTAGAAGAGACTGAGAACAGAGCCAAAACACTGGTGGAGAAGCTGAGAAAGATGGCGGAGGAAACGGTAGGAAAGTCCCGGGAAGTGATCGGGCTGCTGATAGAGAAGATACAAGCATTGGTTACGGCTATGAAGGAATCAATGGCGAGAGCTGGGGAGAGGGCCTCAGAAATGAGAGAGGCGGCCATTGTTAGGGCAAAGGAAGGGGCGGAAGAGCTTCAAAAGGGGACTGCTCAGATGGGTACGGCTGTGAAGAGAATGGCTGAGGATTGCAGAGACGGAGTTGGGAAGATAACTCAGAAGTTCAAAACAACTTGAAGAGCCCTCTCTCTTCTCTCTTTTGAATAAATACTTCAGCAATAAGATTTTCGTCGTCTTTGTAACATTTTTGTATCGTTTTATACAGTGTTTCCGTTCGGATTGTGCGGTTGAATAAGAAAATGCATCCTCTACAATGTTCACTTTTTATTTTATAAGAATATCATTTCGCTGCATAGCGTTTGAGGGTATACGCATCATGATTCATGACCATTTTCCACCGAACATAAAACCGATCTAAGATCCTAATTTGCTGTATTAACTTTCGATCAGATGCAAATTCGTATAGCATTGTAGACTTTATTAAATCTCAGAACTGATTATTTCGGAATCCTTGAATACAAATATAGTCTGTTACCTCCGATCATTCATGCGATAATGGTACGAAAATACGACGTAGTCTGATAAGTAAATGGAAAACTCATAATCTTTCGGCAAAAGGAGAAAATGGAAAAAACATGAAGAGAGAATGCAATCCGACACAAAATTCAGAACAGAAAACTGAACGACAAAGATTATAACTAAAACCGAGCAGGTCTTTTTACTTCTTCTCTTCCTTCTCGGCCTCGGCAGCCCTCTTGGCTCTGGCTCCCACATGGCGTTGGTTTGTCCGCTCGAGTCTGATCTTGCCATATGCCATGGACGACTTCATGTCCTCGGTGACCTTAACAAGGTCCACTGCCACCTTTTCCCTCCCAATCCGCATGTGATCTCCTTGGACTTGCGTTGTATTCGCAAGCTCCTCTGGAGCAGAGTCACCAGCCTGCAAAATAGGGTTAGCCCAAGAAAATGTCATTATCATAGGCTGAGAGAGAATACTCATCGTATATGCATGAAATAATGATACAAGGTATAGCAAGTGTAAGGCAGCTTTTACAATGTATCGACGTATAAGTGTAGATACCTTGAATTTGCGCGCACGGCGTGGGAATATGACCAGCTTAGCCTTGTATGTCTTCAGCCTTTGGATATTTGTCTGGAGTCCCTCCAAGGAACGGTTCTTGCGGCGGTGATCAACTGCGATACCGATGGTTGGAGCCAGCTTCTTTGGGATACCAGCAGCCTGATTTGTCGGAAAGAGAACCAAGGCATATGTCATCAGTTCAATTTAACAGCTTGAATATCCACAAAGAAAAACAAACAAACCTTGAGCTCTTCAAGGGTAAATCCTCTGCCAGCTCTAACTTTCATGTTGTACTTGAGGGTCTGTCCACGCACGACGGGGCGAAGGGGTCCAGCAGTGGGACGAGGGAAGATCTTCACTGCCTTTTCCTGTCTTGCTGGAAAATAAAACATCACACAAAGGAAATCAAGCAGTAGCTACTGTACCGCAACACGAGTAAAAACGGATCTCATGCTGTTGTCTGATGGGAACCAGAAAACATCACCGGACAAACAGGTGACAAAACTCACCGATCCTTCTTCTGGTTTTCCTGGCAGGCTGGTTGAACCATGTCTTCACGTAGTTCTGCCAATGCTTCTTGAAGTGACCGTTGGGAATGACGTTGTTGTGCTTCATTTCTGCAACAAGCCCAGACAGCATGAGATACAAATAACAGAAAAAATGAAGATAGGATCAATCCATAAGAATAGCACACAAAACAAGAATCACACTTATTTGAACAACTACATAATCTCTTATTCAGATTAACGAGATCATATTAACATATGAACATCTCCCGAAGCTACTGGAGACTTAAATGATTGCATTTTTCATGTTACTGCTGCATAAATATGATGCACATAAGTGACTCGGAAAGGGATTATTGAATCGTAATCTGAGATTCAATCGACACTAGAAACAGTAGACTCAAGAGTCTGAGATTCAATCGACGAACATAAACCCATAAAAAAAACAGATGCAGAACAGAAGCAGAGAGGAAACAATCGACACTATAAATAGTAAACAGACATTAGAAACAACAAACTTAGTCTGAGATCAATCGAACGTGGTGGAAGCAAGTGAAAAGACAGAACCTGAGAGGGAACAAATCGCCGGAGGCAGAGAGAAACACCGAAACAGAGCGCGAGTTGGAGAAAACGAAGAAGAAGAAGAGAGAGAGAGAGAGAGACTTACCGGCTGGAACAGAGAACCGACGACGAGAGAGAGAGGCGGCAGACGAGAGGCAAACGACAATGAGAGAACGCGCTAGAGGGACGGATAAAAGTAGGGTTTATTCTTCCTTTTACATTTCGTTTCTTTTATTTAATTTTTTTTAACGGGCTTTGGGCCCGTCAGGCTTAAGCCGATCAAGTCCGAGTCCGATTTGATTTTTTCGGACCTGAAATTTCAAACCCGAATCCAATATTTTCGGGCGGGCTTGGATCCGGATTAGCTCTTCAAGGGTAAATCCTCTGCCAGCTCTAACTTTCATGTTGTACTTGAGGGTCTGTCCACGCACGACGGGGCGAAGGGGTCCAGCAGTGGGACGAGGGAAGATCTTCACTGCCTTTTCCTGTCTTGCTGGAAAATAAAACATCACACAAAGGAAATCAAGCAGTAGCTACTGTACCGCAACACGAGTAAAAACGGATCTCATGCTGTTGTCTGATGGGAACCAGAAAACATCACCGGACAAACAGGTGACAAAACTCACCGATCCTTCTTCTGGTTTTCCTGGCAGGCTGGTTGAACCATGTCTTCACGTAGTTCTGCCAATGCTTCTTGAAGTGACCGTTGGGAATGACGTTGTTGTGCTTCATTTCTGCAACAAGCCCAGACAGCATGAGATACAAATAACAGAAAAAATGAAGATAGGATCAATCCATAAGAATAGCACACAAAACAAGAATCACACTTATTTGAACAACTACATAATCTCTTATTCAGATTAACGAGATCATATTAACATATGAACATCTCCCGAAGCTACTGGAGACTTAAATGATTGCATTTTTCATGTTACTGCTGCATAAATATGATGCACATAAGTGACTCGGAAAGGGATTATTGAATCGTAATCTGAGATTCAATCGACACTAGAAACAGTAGACTCAAGAGTCTGAGATTCAATCGACGAACATAAACCCATAAAAAAAACAGATGCAGAACAGAAGCAGAGAGGAAACAATCGACACTATAAATAGTAAACAGACATTAGAAACAACAAACTTAGTCTGAGATCAATCGAACGTGGTGGAAGCAAGTGAAAAGACAGAACCTGAGAGGGAACAAATCGCCGGAGGCAGAGAGAAACACCGAAACAGAGCGCGAGTTGGAGAAAACGAAGAAGAAGAAGAGAGAGAGAGAGAGAGACTTACCGGCTGGAACAGAGAACCGACGACGAGAGAGAGAGGCGGCAGACGAGAGGCAAACGACAATGAGAGAACGCGCTAGAGGGACGGATAAAAGTAGGGTTTATTCTTCCTTTTACATTTCGTTTCTTTTATTTAATTTTTTTTAACGGGCTTTGGGCCCGTCAGGCTTAAGCCGATCAAGTCCGAGTCCGATTTGATTTTTTCGGACCTGAAATTTCAAACCCGAATCCAATATTTTCGGGCGGGCTTGGATCCGGATTATGACGTGGGCCAAAACTGAAACTGTTAGGGTTTGTTTGGGCTTCATAAAATACACCCGGCCCATCACAACCCAGATTTGAGATGCTTATAATATACAATATTTGCTTGTTATTTTTTGTATCGAAAAATGTACATCACACTTTTTTTAATCCTTCCAAAAGTAATATGGATATTTAGGATTTGATCTGAATTTAATTTGAAATTGACGCTGATTAATATTGATGTTGATGTGAAAATTTTAAGATTAATTTTTTTTAATGAAAATCAAATTCGAAGGTAAATCTGAAATTACAATAGAACGAATATACTTTTATAAAAAAAAAAATTCAAACGCCATACCATTGAATTAAAATTTTTTTGAACTATAATAATATTACATTTTGTAAATATGATATGAAATAAAATATTCTCTTTTCATGTTTGTATATAAATATGGTTGTATACGGATCGACCCAATAACAGTAGTTTGTATATTTGTAGTTAACATAATTTGAGAATGTAATCGGTTTAATTTCGAACTTTGTTAGAACCTTTTTTTTTATATAAAAGGTTAAGATCTTTGGATTTCTATGTTAATATTTATTTGAAAAACCACGAATACACAAACTGAAAAATAAGAAGGTAGCCTTCGGGGACAGGTCAGTTGGTTGGGAGTAGAGGGGGCAACTCCTTGAGGTGGGGGTTCGAACTCTGCCGCCTTCCTTTCTCTGACCTGTTCGCCTGTCAGTCTATCACAATGGGTTGATTTACATCATACGCGTGTGTTGCAGACTCGTGCGCGTGGACTTTGGGTTTGATCCGCAGGCATCTAAGTCCAACTACGGTCCGAGCGTTAGGTGCGTCTGATGGCCAGGTCTGGATAGGGGACTGTTAGGCGCGGGTGGTGGCCAGTTCGTCTCTATCAGCCTATCATAATGGGATGATTTACATCCTACGTGTGTGTTGCAGGCTCGTGCGCGTGGACTTGGGGTTTGACCCGCAGGTGCCTAAGTCCAACTACGACCCGAGCGTTAGGCGCATCTGGTGGCCAAGTTTGGATAGGGGACTCTTAGGTGCTTACAAACCGTTTGTAAGGTAGGTAGTCACGGCTTTTCAAATGTATAAAAAAAAAAATAAGAAGGTAACCGTTTTACACGTATCACGTATTAGACAATGCTGACGTCATCATAGACGTCAGGTTCTGGTTTCTCTGGGTTTTCAATTGGGTCGCTGTGGCTCCTTCTTCCATTATTGTTTGACTCTTTGGTAGTTTAGCAGAAGCTGCCACCACCATTGATTTCTCTCTCTCGACTCTCTACTGATTAAATATGATCTTTGATTTTGGTTTGCCGTTCTGTTTTCTACTTCACCAATTCACTCATTTGCTTGGGTAATCATCACTTTGTCTTCTTCTTCCGCCACACAAATTCAGAAGGAAAAAAAAAAAAAGAAAGAGAAAGAAGCTAAGCACGAGGTCATCGAGTGGGTCTCGTTCATGGCGTGAAAACCTGTTTCTTCGTCACCGGAGTTGCCTTTTTTGGGGGGATGTAACCGTCACTTTTTCCTGCACAATTCACTGTTCTCTGTATTTATGGAGTTGGGTTTCTGCAAGAGTTTCCAGGTTGGGGGAATTTTGAGTTTTTCGAAGGCGGAATCCCTAATTTCTGGGTGGTGAGTTAAGTTCCCGTTCCGAAGTTTTCGAGTTTTGGGTCTTGTTCTAGAGTGGCAATCACGACTATAAGCTTGAGCATCGCTCGTTATGATTATTATATTGTTTCTGATGATCACAGTCGAATCTTTTGTCCATAAATGTTAGTCAAACCAATCTCATATTGCTGCTTCTCCGTGCAACATTTATCGTCTGGGATCAATTCTTGTGCTACATAGCTCGTCCATCGCGGAATTTTCGAGGTTCTGTCTCTTCAGATCCCCAAGATTCCGTAGTTCCAAGTATAAAGTCCGAATATTTCATTGCATATACATCAAAGTCCTACTTACTTTCTGGTTTATTTATTGACCTTAGCATTAAGGTTTTACATTTAGTTCAAAGTTCAATGATCATCATCATATCATACACTGTATGAGTCGACTTTGTTCATGTCGATTCTATGTGGGTTGTGCCCTATTCTAGAATGTGTTTACTGTCTGGGGTGTGCACGTTGGGCGTGGAAACGCTGCCTTTACACGGCTGGTCATGACAGTGAAGATTGGGGGATTGCATCTGCTGAAGAGTTTGAACCCGTCCCTCGGTTATGCCGTTATATCTTAGCTGTTTACGAGGATGATATCCGTCACCCGCTCTGGGAGCCACCGGAAGGCTATGGAATAAACCCTGATTGGTTGATTCTAAGGAAAACGTATGAAGACACCGGAGGGCGTGCTCCTTCATATATACTATATCTTGATCATGATCATAGTGATATAGTTCTAGCAGTCCGGGGGTTGAATATGGCAAAGGAGAGTGATTATGCTGTGCTTTTGGATAATAATCTCGGGAAGAGGATGTTCGATGGTGGGTATGTTCACAATGGGCTGCTGAAAGCTGCAGGATGGGTGTTAGATGAGGAATGTAACGTCTTGAAGGATCTAGTCGTGAGCAATCCGGGTTATACTCTGACTTTTGCAGGGCATTCCCTTGGGTCAGGTGTCGCTGCAATGTTGGCTTTGTTAGTGGTAAGGTATCCTAATAAATTGGAGAACATAGATAGAAAGAGGGTCAGATGCTACTCTATCGCACCTGCAAGGTGCATGTCATTGAATTTGGCTGTCAGATATGCAGATGTGATCAACTCTGTTGTTCTTCAGGTGAAGTTTTTACCTTCCCTGGATGAGTGCGTGTATGTATACATCAAATGGTTGTTGTTTGAATGTCGGGTCCCAAATGATATTTTTTGGTTTTTGTCCAGGATGATTTCTTGCCCAGGACAGCGACGCCTCTAGAAGACATTTTCAAGTCGCTTTTCTGGTACTGATCTCTCGAAATGCATCTTTGTCTCAAATAATCATCTGAGTATATCAAGTATTGTCCCAGAGTCAAGTGGTGAAACTTGGATTGGAAGATGATAATAGACATTTTCTCGTGAATCGTATATCTGGGAAAAGTCTGAAGTCATGCCCTTTGTGTTTTCTTGTGTTTCTTGTGCTGTGAAATGTTCTATCAATGGGAAGAACCTCTGTTAGTCATCTGTCTTGTTTAAGAAAATATTTGAACATATCATTATCTTAACTAACTAACAGTGTTTATCAAACTCTCATCTGAAGCCGAACTGGGAGAATTTGCTTTGCCTGATGAAACTCGAGACATTTTGATCAGCTGCTTATGCCCGGAAGAACTCAAAAGTTTTGTCCTTTATACTTGCTTGCGTTTCTTGCCTGGAAAAGTTCTCTTTTATGGTTAAGGAGCTTCTGTAAGTTCTCGTCTGTTGCAGTAATGGGGGGTTTGTGTTAATTTGATTCGTTTTCATGGACAGTTTGCCGTGCCTGCTATGCATAAGATGCATGAAGGATACATGTATTTCAGAAGAGAAGATGCTCAAAGACCCTAGGAGGCTATATGCACCCGGCCGCATGTACCATATCGTTGAAAGAAAGCCTTTCAAGTAACTGATCCTACTGGCCATGGTTTCGGTTCATTCACATATAGGAATTCATGTTCTTTGGTAGTTCAGTTATGGTGTTTGAGATAAACTTCATGTTATTTTTCAACCACCCATATCAAATTTCATGCCCGGTTTGGTTATTAATACTTTTGTGAGATGAGAAGATGGTAGAAACTCTCGTTAATTTTGTTCGGATTTTTTTGGCAGACTAGGAAGGCATCCTCCAGTGGTGAAGACAGCGGTGCCAGTAGACGGGAGGTTCGAGCACATTGTTCTTTCTTGTAATGCAACTTCCGACCATGCCATCATTTGGATCTTACGGGAATCCCAGAGGGCTCTCGATGTAAAGTTTCTCCCCTGCCCTCTTAGTTTTCGTCCTTCATTTTTTGTCATTACTGTCTCATAATAACCGAGCCGGAGAATATGATATGCTAAGATAATGATGGAGAAGGAGAAGAGGATGGAAATACCGGCGAAGCAACGGATGGAGAGGCAAGAATCTTTAGCCAAAGAGCACAACCTCGAGTACAGAGCAGCCCTTCAACGTGCTGCAACTTTGGCCGTTCCTCATGCCGACCAACCTCCTTCCCTGTACGGAACCTTCCACCATGAGCAAGAAGAAGAAGAAGAAGAAGATTCCTTGATCGGGTCATCAGTGGAGGGAGAATCATCATCGTCTCCCCTCCTGCCATTCGAGAGAAGCAGGCACAGCAGCAAGGTGAGCTGGGACGAGCTTATCGAGCGACTCTTTGACAAGGATGGTTCCGGTCACTTGGCCCTTAAGAAATCTCAGAGTCTCCGATGATCAACTTGATGCGGTCATTCTCATGAGCTGGGTTTTTTGTGGGTTCAAATTTATCCCTTCATTCCATGATTTATTCATACGGATGAAATTATGTGTAGAAACATGTTGGTTAATTGGACCGACCATACCGGTCTCGGTTTTTAAATAACCATTCGGGTATTCATTCCATGGAAGAAGTTTCTCCAAATGGAAGTTGGAATAGAAATATTTCCCTCATTTGAACATCCAGAGATTGATTCATGTGATCTCAAATAAAAAACACAAAGGAACATTATAAATAACAAATGCAAACGAAGTACGAATGCTTATAGTATGGCATTAAACACAACCCATAAGAACAAGCACATACATGTTACATGTATATGTGTATACATATATGTGTGTGTGTGTGTACATCTGAGGATGGTACCATCAATCAATTTTATCAGCAGAGAAGTAAATCTCACAGGCTCTCGGGAGAAAAACAGGCAACAAGAGACCAAACAGATTGAAGGACCATATTAAGATGTTGGCCGAAGCAAGGGCTCTTCCACCGTAGACCCTCATCGGACCACCGGGCCGTTCAGTGGCCGACGGCGAGAACTCGGCCCTAATCCAATCCAAGAGGGCGAAGACACGGCGAGCGTTGGAGAAGACAGGTCCAAGAATTCCAATGGGCATAGAGAACTTGTCGGAAAAACCTATCGGTTCCATGAAGGATTGGCCGCAGAGGAGGAAGAGATGCTTAGATGCTGCTCTTGCCCCTTCCAGATCCCCCCGGAATATTCCATCTCCGATGTAACAGATCGGAAATATCAAGCCTGAAAACGCTTATCACGTTTAGTCAGAATATGCTCTCACGAGACTTGTTTCACACACAAAAAAAACATCGTACCAAAAACAGCCGTGGCGAGGAAGTAAGCTCGGAAAAGCTTGGCGTTAGGGTTTGAGAATCTTCGCCTCTGCTCATTTTTCCTGGGAGGAAATGCGAATCTCGAGAGGAAGATGTATAAGTAAACATAACTAAACACCACAAACGCGATTTCTTCGACGCCGGCGAGGCCCTTCACCGCCAAAAAAACCATGACGCCGGCCAAAAACAGCTGCCTCCGGAGGCTGATGAGACCACCCTTCCGCGGCGGCGGCGGCGGAGCTGTTGGGGGGTGTTCTTGTATCTCTTCCGACATCGGTTTCTTTGGAGAGAGAGTTTTGGGTTTCTGTGGAGAGATAGGGAGAGAGAGAGAGAGTAGCGAACTGTCTTGTCCTGGACCTTATCTATTTCCATGCCTCACAAAAATATAGAAAGAAAAAGCAATCAAAAGAAATTGTGGGTGTGAAGAAGTACGTACAAGGAAACACATATATACACGTAAAACAACGTGTTTTCTCTCTCTCCATGCAGAATTCAACACTTCTTGATTTGATACCCAAACTGTTCATCCAGTTTCAGTAATGCCTTCGGGAGAATCTTTGTTGGATGCCGATTTGGTCACATCATATTTAAGAGAGCTTGGGATAACTCTGTCATAATATACATTCAAACGCATAATATTCTTCGACCATAAGATAACAAGTCCAGATTCAATAACGAAAGAAATCACACCTTTGTAACTCCATTTCTATCTACAAAGACATCGAACCTCTCCCAACTTGTGGCTTCAATTAACAACTGCGAGTTTTGCAGAGTAAACAAAAGGGGAAAAGGCAGTATACTTCTCTACAGGGTGCCCGTCAAAAGAATAGCGGTATCATCTAAAAATGGAAAGATGATGTCTTCTGAAGAGGGTTTTTCTCCTATGTCGGTGAAATAGGCGGCGTGGAAGAATTTACTAGAGATGGGGGTAACAAAAGAACGAGGGTAAGAAGAAGAACGTACATACATACACGCCTTGCCTTTTCACCAACGGTTTTGCCAGTCTTGAATGGCTTGTTGGAGAGCACGGTTCGGGATGAGGTTGCAGTCTTCCATCGTGAGGTTTGTCATCGGTGAAGTGTCGTGTCCATTCACCAGCCATTCTCGGATTGCTTCTGCTTCATATGTGAACCCATCTGCTGCTATGAGCGGATCTTTCATCACTTCCTGCGTTGGATCATCAATGCAGTAAAACAAAGCTTGAGGCTCAACTGGCATATAAATGCTCATGAAATACAAGATTTCATAGGTTCAGGTTGATAAAGAAGCAGAAGGGAAATCGATGAGATTTTGAGTACCTGGAAAATGGGACAGAGGAAGTGAGAAGGAGCCCGGCGTGGAACTTTGTGGTCTGAGTATGATGGTGTTGATGACGATGATGATAAATTTTCGGGAACCCTCATCCGCTCAATCACCCGCAGAACCACAGACAGGTCTGGTCTATTCAAGGGGTTCTTTTTACAGCAACGCATCGCCACATTTGCCAGCTTTCTGGCTCGAGCAACTGGCCAATCTCCAGCCGAACTATCCAGAACCGCACCAAAGTTATCATTCTCTAAAGCACATTTGACATCTCTCAATATACCCGAAACAGGTCTCCTGGTGAGCAGCTGGAGGAGAATGATCCCGAATGAATATACGTCTAATTCTGGTGTCAACCGTCCAGAGACAAAGAAATTCGGATCTACATGAACAGGTTTGTTAATCTTCACTTCTGGAATCAACTGCGAAATACCGTAGTCAGTGGTTTTGGTGACAAGATAGGAATCAAGGAGAATCTTGGATGGTTTCAGATTTCCATGGATGATGCAAGGCATGTTGGAATGGAGAAACAAGAGGGCAGAGCAAATCTCTGAAGCAATCCTGATCCGAGTTTCCCATGAAAGCGGGGGAATGTTGTGTCTGGTGGAGAGACGGTCTTCGAGGCTGCCATTCTCAATATACTGATAAATGAGGGACTGAGACTCTGTGCAAGCTCCCATCAATGTCACCAGATTCGGATGCCTCACCCTGCTTAAAATTTCCACCTGATATCCAACCAAAAATCACAGCATGAATATACATCGGAGGGGATGTACATACATGCGCACACGTCTTCCAACAATATATTCATTTTCAGAAAAATCGGCACATGGGTATACACACAAGGTCTTTTTACCTGATGCTGGAACTCCAAGTGATTCTGGGAGCCATAAGAAGGTAACATCTTTACAGCAACTTGAATATGTTGAAGATAACCCTTGTAGATGCTTCCATAATTTCCTTCTCCAAGTTTCCAGGAGGGGTCAAATTCGTTAGTAGCTTCATTGAGTTCCATGAAGGAATACTCGAGAATCTGCGTTCCACGAGAATTTTCAGACTCTCCTTTTACCAGTTTTCTCAACTCATTCACCTCCCTCACCGCTTTCCCATGCTCTATCTGCATCTCATCCCTTTTCTGCTTGAAGCTTTTCAAGAGCTCCATAGCTGTCACGAATTTTTCATCATATTCTTTTTCCATGTCTCGAATTTTGCGAATTTGATTCTCCAGCTGGAGATTTTGGCCTTGAACCATCTTTAGTTCTTTCTTGAAATTGTCATGCTGGTCCATTACCTTCTTTACATCTTCTTTCTCCCTTCCCAGCAATTCTTCCAGCTTTTTTCTTCGGCTCATCTCCTTCATGCATAAGCTTTCCAACGCTTTTGACTGCAAAATGGCATAACAAAACACAATCAGTAACCTGGAGAAACAAGATTTAACAATACAAGTTTCATAAAATAAACATCTCTAGCACCCGCACCAGCTATTATTGCTCCTGCAACTAAATGTTTATTACTCCTCAGAGGCATACCATGCTCATCTAGAGGTGCTGATTTCAAAACAAATTCAAAGTAGAATCTATGACGTGTGGGAGCTTAAATAACAAACTTTTCACTGATCATTTGTTTTGATTGGCTGACAAAAGAAGGTACCTAATGCTAGCTAGATATGCATCTCCTGATACTAATTTATCAATTGGCCAACATGGAAAAATGGACAGGGATTGGAAAGAAACCATGTAAAAAATACCTAACTAATCGAGTATTAATAAACAATAAATGCATAACCTTGCATATAGCCTCAAAGGTACTGTCATCCTCTTTCTGTTTGTTTCCAGCTTCTTCATAGATAGTTCTCTCTGCCTGGTCCATGGCATTATTGAATTTATCATACTTATGATGAACTTTGTGTACTACCTCCTGATCACACTTCACCTCCTGAAATTCCACATGTATCACCCGTTTATCAGCAGGTTACAATGTTTGCTCCACTTAAATCAAATGTATACAACATCCTCTTCTCTTGATATGGAAGTTCTGCTATATGATGCAAATATAAATTACTCTCCATAACTGTTTCCTCAAAACCATGTTTCACAGCATCTGTATACAAAACGCTTGAGAACAAATCAGCTGCTGAGATTAGTATCCTGTCAACTATAACTTATGCAAAGGACTTACGAACAAGGTTTTAAATTTGTGGATTTACTAACTAACACATACTATCAGTTATCAGAGATGGAAGTATAGCTGAACAAAACTCCTCTCACCTCATCGGTTAACTTAGTTGCTGTATCCAAGCCAACAGGTTCTGGGGCAACCAGTTCACCAACAGAGGAACTTGAACCGGAAGAGACACGAGGAATGGAACTCCCTGCCTCTTTCTCCAATTCACCTGTGTCTTTGTCAGCATCTGCAGGATTCTGTAACAAGGTTATCTGCGGAGACAGAAAACCAATCGAAAGTCACAAGTACGACAGGCGAGGCAACCTTGCAAGTCCAGGGCAACTGCTACCTTGTTCAAGGAGGCTACGCCAATAGCGTAGTCTTCTCATCATATAAGATGATTCCAAGTTTTCTGATTTCCTTGTCTCGGCATCTGAATCTCGCTGTACTAAAGGAGGCCTCGATTCCCTGTTAGTACTGTCTTCATTTGTTGCCCTGTTAAGAGAATTAGTACCCATTTAAAAAGGAAGTGAGGAAAACCACAATAAATTTGAAGCAGAGAGCTGAATGTGACAGATAATCCAGAATTCAAATATAATGATTTAAGCCAATAGTTAAAATGGATTGCCCGAGATTATACAAGGGTTTCTTTACACGTATTTTAACAGCCAACTTAGGATCATCCAAGACCATTATTCAAAGTATATTTCTTTCTTTTATAGCCAGAATAGCAATTTCCCAGGAGAAGAATTCACCTTGTAAAGATAAGGTAACCCTTGCACAGAAACCAAATATGACAGGAAACAGGTGCTCTCTGGCAAACAAATATGGCTTTCTTGGACTTCAAATCGGTCATTTTCCTGTCATTTCAATTTAATTTGATCACATGAGGCCCAAAAAAGGATTATTTAAAAACAATGACCGACATAGAATCATATCCAACTATCTCTCATCATATTTCTTTCTAGAGAACTTACATCGCTGAACACTAGAATAGAGCTGATAACTAGCACCCAAACTTAGATAGTTAGTAATATATCTTTCAGTCAAATGAACATGGTGATCTGAGGACTTGTCTGAATACATTTGCATGAATGGGATTAAATGAATTATTTATTTGCAAAACCAATATATCAGCTCGAACAAGGTCTCCATTACCTTCCACACCAAGGAAGAATTCTCATCACAAAATCAGCTGTCAAACTCATTAATCTCAGTTCACTTTAATTTCAGTAATGAATTCACAGAATTTTTCCCCTGCATTTATTCTATAATTATATACGGTTAGGAGACACAAGGCACTAGTTTTTTCTTCTATCCAAACAGAGACTTTGCATATGTACTTCTTCTTAACCTTAATCCTTAGAGGAAATTGCTCCAAGAAATGAAACCAGAATCCTAATGGCCCAAAATCTTCTACTATGGAAAAGCAGAAAGTGGGAAGACGATTGGGGATGTCTTGAAACGAATGTTTGTCAAGGATGGCAGCAGAATGGTTAAATTCACGCAAGGAGCGACAAAATTTATGCATATTCCGTACCATGAATAATGCTTATCTGATGCAGCTCCCATTACAAACCACTTAATCTTGTGCCGAGTAATTAGTTCAACAATACCCTCCTCTATATTTGGCCTCGCAATCCACAGCTTATCTGTTTGAACCTAAAAAACACTAGATCAATCTGTCAGTCTATCAAACGAAAGGGTCCAACAAAGAAAGTCCAAACTTTGCAACTTGCAAGAATTATGTGAAATCAAACAACGTTTGCTTATTTATTTTTCTCTTTTCTTAATATCAAAATCATCCACCCAGACTCCAGGAACATCCAAACTGGGTTGCCACGTTTTATTTCACAATGACATTAGAACAGCAATATATGTGTTTGCAATCAACAATAAACAAGAGAGAGAGAGAGAGAGAGAGAGAGAGAGAAGCAGTACCGCAGTTTCAGATAGAAGTCGAAGATAAGAATTCATAAGCTCGTCCAATTTTTGTCTCTCAACGTGCTCAATCACCTTGACAGAATCTTGTCTAAATTTGCCAGCAACAAGTTTCTTGTCTGACAAGGGTAAAACAAATACTTAGAAACTACTAACTTTTCAACAACCTTAACAATCAAAGGGGAATGAATAAGGAAAACAACGAAAATCTTGAGAGAAACAACTCAACCCTCGATGTTCAAGCTTACGGCGATAACATCATATTTTTTCAGTTTCAAGACACCATGAAACCCGTCTTAGTGAACAAGCATCACTAAACACTGACTTGTACAGCAAAGCCAATGATCAATTCTATTCACATTATCCCGGTGCATGTAGTCCTTTGATCATACATCTCTCTTCCTCTTCTTCCAGGTTTTTGGTAAAATTGAAATTGGAGACAAGAATCAATATGCGAACAGTTTTTTACATTCTCTTCCATCTTCTCAGTGATCAAACATAGCACACGAGCAAAACCACAGAATTCCAAAAATAAAGGAAGAAACTTGATGAACATCTTTATGGTCTCGATTAGATAGCTAAAGAGTTCTGTATCTCTCTGATTTCCTTTATTTTCCTCAGTAACCAAAAAGATCATCAGAAATATGCTCCACATTGCAGAGAAATGTCAAAGTAGACCTTGGCAAGTCAAACTGTTCGCAAACCCCAGATAATGAACGAATTTCCAATTTTCACTGGATTTCTTCCATTTTCCCACTAAGCAAACAGATCACATCACAAAAACTATAATTCACCCCAAAATCGAAAATCAGAGAGAAAGAGAGAGAGGATCTCACTCCACGGCGCGGGCCGAGCAGGGCGGTGAATATGAAGCAAGCATATCCTCTTGCCGGAGAAATTTCGCGCCGCCCAAAGCACCGTCGTCTTACTCCTCTCCACATCCTCCGCCACCGCAACGAAGATCGTCTCATCCAAGTTGAACACCGCTTCATCTCCGCCGATCTCTCCCACACTCCCCATCTCTCTCTCTCTCTCTCTATCTATCTCTATACGTATAGACGGATATACATACGCCTGTAGCACAGAATCGCTTTATAAAAAGCTCGTCGGATTCCTCTAAAGGAATCGTTTTTTTTTCCTGGTTCGCTGAGTCGCTGACTCGGTGATGAGTCAACCGATTTTACCAACTTGGAAGATAAAAAGTTTGGCTCATTCCGGTGAATGTCTCTCCTACCTCCGGGAAAAATGTCTCTTTTTTTTTCAAATCCGAATTATTGCCAATGGGCAATGGACAAACTTTAAGTCATGCAAGAAAAAATTAAAATTAAAATTAAAATTAAAATTAAAATTAAAAATAATAATTAAGAATAGCAGATTGATTAATTTATATATATATATATAAGAACAAAATTCGTGCTAAATATCCATCAAATTACAATAAATATATGAGTAAAAACAATTAATTTGTATATTGAATAAAGAAAATCGATATAAAAAATGTAGAAATGAGATAATGCAGAATAGCTCAAACCAAAGAAATAGACCAAATCCGGAGACCAAGTTGGAGAAGTTGGGTTATATGCTTAGAAAGAAGATCAAATTAAAAAACACTTGGACACTTGAGAAAGACATGTTATTGTCATTGTCTATTTTATAACAAGTTTAAAGCTGCAATATAATAACATGACCGTTTTATATGTATTGGTATTGCTATTACCTCACCACACTAATGCAATATGTAAATTAAACATCGTTCATTGAAAATTAGTGAATTATTTGTCTCGAATTTCAATTCATATGTTTATAATTATTTCATTTTTAAAATTATATTAAGCAAAATAAATTGATTGAATGATTATCAAATGGTGACACGATCTCGTTGATATGTTGGTGGTCCCAAATTTGAAATATATATATATATATATATATTTGTGGTCGGTCCTTTATCTAGAGCCTACCTTGTTTCCTCATATCCATAAATATTCTATCCCCCAAAACCTAATAGACTTAGACTACTCCCCTAATGGTACACAACCAAAACATAGATTATATATATGAAAGATATAATGAAATATATTTGAAATTCCTTATACTTTTTTTCAACTTAATTACTGTTTACAAAAACAATGATGGAATATATTTCAAAAAATATCACAGCAAAAGTTTTGAATAAAATGATTTTGATTGATTTATTATTATTATTATTATTATTTCATTCAACCATTTTCATTTTATTCTATTACGATTTACATGTATAGAGTTACCATGAGGAGCTTGATGTTGCTAGACCAAGAGAATCTTTTTTAATTATCCACTTATCTTTTATTCCATCCACTAGTGTCATCTTCCTGTCTATCTGAAGTATTTTACATAAGAAAACTGTAATTTCATAATAAAAAACATTTTCTAATGACAATGCAAGAGACGACTTATGAGGTCCCGAGCAAATTCGTCAAACCCAACAGTCCCAAAGTTTTTTTTTTTATAATCCGAAAGTTCACCGGGTGTTTGACCCGACTACATCTTCCAAAGGATCGGATAAGTCCATGTGAATGCTCCTCCCCATGTTTGGGTTTAAATCCAGGATAAGAGTATGCTTTGCATGTTCTCTTACCACTTCACACTAAAACTTGAAACTTATCACTTTATAGAAGAAGAAAAAAAACTTAAAATTAGGGGTTAGCATTTGGAATCGGATATGTATTGAGTCCATTATTTTGGAGTTTGGTTCTTTTTGTAATACATATATATATATAATTCTGATTTATATTCAATTTTTTATTTTTAAAACCATATATAATATCTTTAAATATTTGTATTATTCAATTCTTTTTTGTATAATATAAATATGAATTATCCACCCTACTTAGAAGTAGTTGAGACAATAAATTAGAACCCACAAATCACAATTTCGAAATCCGAGTGCAGAGATATACATGAATCCACTAATTAAAAGTTCCATGAGAATGCAATTTTAAAACTCACAATGGTGCCAGAGAGACACCATCAACTCCGAATATTATAATAATCACACCCTACGAAGAGGATAATTATTGTCACCCAAGTGCAAATACCCTAATTGCTTAAATCAAGGGCTCAATTAATTAACTGATTAAACCCAAAACGAGATTTTGAGTTAATTAACTAACTAATTAGCCCATATTAATGTCCAATTATTATATTAAAATATTCTTAAGCAATGCCGTTCACCGTCTTCCCCTCCTCCGTCATCTTCAGATGAAAGTCTGCGTCCTTCTCCAGCTTCTCCATGACCGAAGCTTCCAGACTGATCTCCACATCGATGCTTCTTCCTCCACTTTTCCCTTGGTACAGGTAAACCATACCGTCAAACCGGTTATTGGACCCACTCCGTACGAATTCCGGTTTTCCCCAACCGAAATCGACGTCGTATACCCGGAACCTCGGCGAGCTCCCGACGGCGACGCAGTTGGCTCCGGCGTCTTTCCACTGGAAGATCTTCGGAGATTTCTCCCATTCCTCGTTCCGCGCTTGGATCGCTCGCGCGTCGTGCGCTGCGATCGCCTTCTGGATCACGGTGGCGCCAATCGCCGGTCCACCCTCCGTTGCCAGGAGCCCAGCGGCGGTCCCCGTGAAGATCGCCTGGATCAGATTCCCGAAATATTCGTCTGGCATCGGCGGATCGACGCGCCGCCGGCAATCGGCGAAGACGGTGAAGACAGTGACGTCGCCGGGGTTGAGGCCGCGTGCGAGGGTGACATGGCGCCAGATGTGGGCGGAGAGGGACTGAAAGGTGGAGAAGGGCTTGGAGTCTGAGCCGGAGGCGTTGGTCCTCGATTTGACCGTGTCGACAGCGGATTCGGAGAACCTGAAGACCTTCTCGCGGAGCGGCGGCTGCGCTGCGGCGGCGGAGTCGCCGTTGGGGAGGGAGAGGTGGAGGTTGACGCGCACGTTACGCGCCTTGCTGCGGTCGAGGAAGGGTTGGGCGGAGATTGAGTGGGCCCCATGACAGAGCTCGGCCCATGAGCTTATAAAGTGCCACGTGGAGGTACCGTCCAGGACGGCATGGTTAAAGGCCAGGCCCATCGCCAGCCCATCTTTCAGCTTCGTCACCTGTTTTCCACAAATTTAGTTAAAAGCAAAATAATTCGATTTGTTTTATGTAACAAATATTTTAGTAATAATTCCAATGAATTTACCGGAAATTTCGTTAAAAGGGTTTTTCAAAGAAATATTCAAACATTTTTCTTTGGAAACTAACGAATTGCAAATCTAAATCGAATTAGCAAAATAAAACAGATATATTATTTTAGGAAGGATGGCTAGAAACATCGGTTTAAACTCAAGACCAGCTAAAGTGAAACAAAGACTTCCAACTACCACACCTGTTTCCAAAATGTCTATCATAAATGTAGAGAATTTAATGAGCATCAGAAAATATTTATTGTGTACGTAGGTATACCACTTTACATCAGATTCTCGTATAATATTTTTCATTTATTTTATAACAGCAAAATTTTTAAAAGTTCTTCTTTACTTCGTATACATCTTATATGATTAAATATATATATATATATAACAACGGCTCTTTTATGTAAACCTTTTTATTAAAAAATTTAATTAAATCATAGCTCTTAATGTTGGCTGAATTTGAACAAATGAGACCATTTGTACGTGAACCCGTGACAATTAATATTTTTACACATGAAATAAGTAAATCTTGAATAATATTTTCCCCATTGTTTCGTCTATTTTGTTTTTTGTATTATAATCCTAGCCTTTTCTTTAAATTGGAGAACTCGGTTTTGTATTTTTTTAAAATCATTTATTAATAGTATTTTTGTGTGAAAAAAACATATTTTATGTATGTATATATAATATTTTATTGTTTGGCCCATATGACATATAATATTTTATTCAGTTGAATCTCTAAATTTTATTTTATTTTTCCTTGAAGCATTTGGAATTTGGCTAAAGGTCAAACGGGTTGACCCAAATGTCCTATGTTTTTTTGGTCATAAATGCTACACTTTACAAAAAAAAAATGTCGCCTAATATGAGCGGCTACGGTTTCTTTATTTTATTTTATTTTATGAAAATCATTAATTTTTCTTTTTAATCCTTTCGACCTCCAAAACTGTAACAAAAAATTCACCTAACATGAAATATTTATCGTTATCATCATCCATCAAAAAATGTTTAGATCCTCAGACTAAAGAAATTATAATATGATATAAATCCATCAATTCTCCTAATAATTAGCATCAGATAATAACTCAAGATTCACTGATCATATTTAAGATAAGCTTTTTAAAGCTCTAAGCTAATGCAGAGAAAGGGAAATGGCCGTATGCCGTAGAAATATACAATTTGTATCCGTATATATATGCACCCAATATTTTCTAATATATATATCATTCCATAACATTCCCGTTTTATATTCAAATTTATGGGGAAAAAATAGGTTCCGTTTCTTTCAACTTCTATTTGAAATGTAATTGAACCTTTGATTTCCTCAATCTATTTCAACTCTAATTTTATATTAATTTACTTTCCATTAAAAACTATATTTTTATTTTATAATATTATAACCGATAAAGGGCGCATAATCGGAAAAGAAGGAAAATTGCACTGTATGCAAAACACAATATTATAATAGTTACCTGGACAGCAAGGAGAGGCCTGCGAAGTCCTTCCACGTTCAAGATCCCATTGTACGGAACCAACTCCTTGAGCGTCACCGTCCCATCCTCACCCGTCAGATCGTCCACGCTGACGTCATCAGCAGCCGCCACCGAGAATTCTACGCCGTCGATCTCTCCGTCGTCGGCGTCATACTCGACCCGGAAAACCCCGGCGTCGTCCTTTGCGAGTTTTCCGGCGAGTTGGTAAAAGTCTTCAAGAACCAAACGCAAACCATCCTTGAGTTTCTCCACGACATCCTCGTCGAAGACAACGTTGCTCTCGGTCTTGTAGAGAAGGAGCTTCTGGTTGTAGTAGAAGGCTAAGTAGGGGAGATCAAACGTCGTGAGATTGCATTGTTTCTTCCCAAGCGGATTCTTCGGTTTCACGTGAGTTGTGTTCATAATCTTCACCTTCGTTATCGCCATTGTTCTCACGATCACACGACAAGATCTTGAATGGGTTTCCCTCTATTTTTTTTTTTTTGGGGTTTCTTGAACTATATATATATAATGAAATGATTTGGAAAACATAAGTGTGCGTCTATATATTTATAATATATATATATATATATGTAGTGTGAGTATGTGTGGTTGGGATTGCATTTAAGGGTTAACGAGAGCGGTTGTGAACCAATTAATGTCTCCAAAACGCTTTTTTTTTTCTTTTTGTTAGGGATCGGGTGGATTTAGGAAATTGGGCGATCTCCCATTGTACGTATAACGTATGGTATTATTATACGGGGATAAATATGGTATATACAACGCATGCATGTGAGATGCAAGTATAATATTCACATGTGTGGTTAGGTCGTGGTGGACTGCCTTGAGACCCATTTATAATATATTCGAATAAAATGGTAACATTTTCTACACGTAACGTCTAGAGGTTGATGAACCGTAGCTTGATATGCATCGACTAGGGTTAATAGAGATTTAAATGGAAATATTTGTGTCTTAAAGTAAATATTATTTGGTTTGAGTGCATGGAATTATGACCACTTCTTCTTAGAAAATACAAAGAGAAAACGTATGTTTAGTTTCCGGTCGGAAGAAAATAATTTATAAAGGAATCAAATCATGAAATTTACAGATGACGTACGAAATGAAATATATATATATATACGGTATACAAAAGCAATATGTGTACACACCTCAGTTGGACTATTTTGTTTACATTTAAAATACGAATATTTCATTATAAATTTTTATAATTACCGTCGATATTTTAACTCAAAATTTATTTTTCGTATCGTCCGTACGTTTGTGGGTGAAATAAATACGGTCCATCGTCTGTATATTTATGATACAGCTAATACGCAACAGTGTTATCTTTTTTTTAAAACAAAAATATTTTTGGAATATTTAAGCAAAACAATTATGCGCCGAAAGGAATATATTTTTCTAATATATGCTTTATATTTTATCCTTGTATAAGAACTATTGTTTATACTAAGCCGAACAAATCAATAGGATTTTTTTTTTCTTTATATGGAAAAGATATTCCCTGTTATAATCATACCTTACTATAAAAATATGAAAATAACAATTATTTTTTCCACCAATCTTTTAATGATTCAATAGCTTTTATGTTGTCTTACCAAATGAAGTACCTAGAGTCAGACGAGGGGTTAATTTTGCATTAAATATTTTATTCGAATTTATCTTATATATATATATATATATATAAAAAGATACGAAAAGCTCGTTACCCATGGTCCCATGGAGCATTAAATTTGGTTGACGATGCGTTTAACCGGTACCGGTCCAATCTCGGAATTCGCGTTAAAGTTATGTAGAGCCGGTTCGGCCTTGGAACCCGTTAAGACCGGTTTACAGTGTGACCGTTATAACCGTAAATTATCTTTGGTATGGCCGTTATAACCGACAATCACGGTCAAATGAATCCGGTCCAATCCGGGTTTAGTTAAATTATGCATTATGGTTGAGATGTGAAACTATATTAACTAAATTAACAATTAATATATATATGTAACGTGCAGGGAATGGTCAAATTACCGGATTTTCCAATTTTCTGATATTTTCAATAAATTAAAATTTTGATTTAAATTTACCCACATTTATTTTGGATCCGATTTTCTATACCAAACGTTCGAATATCCAAATTTCATATATATGAGATTGGTTTCGAGATGTCAATTGAGACATTTGGGTTTGGATTTCGATAATTCATGTGCGATTATTTCAAATTTTATTTCAGTGGTTCATAATCTCTCATTCAACATCCTCGACCTCGGCATTAACGGCGAGAAGAAACAACAACAATGGCGGTGCAATAATATTACATGTCTAATTCAAGGAGTTACGTACGTACGTGGTGAAACAATAAATAAATTGAGGTGTTACATTTTAAGATATATATTTTTGGTGTAATTATCCATGGACCCATTTTAAAGTAGTCCTTGTAAATAAGTCGTGAAAATTTAATTTACCAAAAAAAAAAAGTCATGAAAATTTACAACCTTAGGTAAATGCATATATACGTGATATTGGTGAATTTGTACGGTAAAGAGATAATATTTGAACGGTTATAGGTTGGCCAAGGACGGACCAAACAATTAAATATTTTTATATTAATAAAGTTAAATAATATTGATTTAGTTTGGAAGTGAATTTTAGTTTAAAAGACTCCCTAGTCCCTAATGTTCGCGTTGGCGGTTTAAGCATTAATTAGATGATAGATTACTATATTAGAACTTATATGGATTCCAAAAATCTAAAAGAAAAACATAAAATCGAATCTTTAGAAGAAAAAAAATTGAAATCATTACAACAATCGCCCAATTTTTACTTGGATTTCGGACCCAGAGAGCAACCGGGTCGACCCGGATCCAGAATCTCCCTAACGACAAGATTCCTCGCCCTATTGATGGTCATGAAACACAAGTGAAGATGTTCTTCAAGTTCATCAAGTTGTTCACTTAGGCTCTCACCAGTCATCTTCATCTGTCGAGCCACTTCTTCCTTGGCTCGAACCCGGTCTAACCCTCTCACCGCCCAGAACTCGGCCACGGCTCGTGCGTGCTCGACCTCGTCGTTAAACCGGCTCACCAACCTGCTTATCGTGTCCAGATCCCGGCTCAAAATGTACGTCCCTTTCGCCGCTATGTCGAGCTGAGCCGCGGTTCTCATAAGCTTCTTGGTCAGACCGGCCGGTTTGAATCTGGCGGTTAGGAGACTTGGACCGGCTATGAACAGAGCAAAAGCGTGAGAAGCTATGGTTACAATCAATGTTGTAGTTAGTGCCACGACGAACATGCCCGAACCGTGCCGTAAACCGTTAATGAACCGGAGTTTGGTACGGGTCTTGTCTCGGCTCGATTCAAGCCGGTTAAGTAGGTTTGAGCAGTTGTTTTGGACGACCCGAATCCGGAAACCCGACGAGACAAACGGGCGGAACCATTTCGACAGCTCCATGAATTGATTAATCAGATCCAACGGATCAGCTTTAAATTCGATTTGGGTTTTTAAAGATTCGTACTTAGAGCGGATACGGTCGACGCTTCTCAGCAAAATACTGCAAATTAGAAATGCATTCGCTGTCTCCGAGTAGTAACTCGATAAAAGAAATCGGGTCAGGCGTCGGGTCCGGGTCAGATACAATATCCGGGTAACGGTGATCGGATCCGGGTCGAGGAGATTTTGGGCGAAGAGACGATAGGACATGAGCCGCGCTGAGGTGGATGACGACTCGATGGGTGAACACGTGGCGGATTTCTTGTGGCTTAACTGAGTGACACGTGTCCAGAACTGGTTGTATGATTCCGTACGGAATGCGTTGGCGTACTCTTCCCGGACATCCACGTCATCTCGGCTTTTGGGGCTCGTAGTAGTAGCTCCCGAAGCTGGAAATCGGAAATTAAGAATACCGAGTTACATTTTATCTAGAGGAGAAAAAATGAACGCAGTTAAATAAAAATGGTGAAAAAGTAATTTTTTTCTGGTAATAAAATAACGAGGCGATTATAACGTAAAATTGGTAAATTTATAGAGGAAATGAACAGTGAGATCAACCTGTGTATGAAAGAAACTTTTTGATCCTTGAAAAAATCTCTCTGCCCATCCGCACTGAAAAAAAGAAGAAGATATAATTCTCATTATTATCTCCATTCATTTAGTTAGAGATTTCTAATTCAAAGTAATAATAAATAAAAGCTCACATACGTTATTATTTGCATTTGAAAAGAAAATATTTTATATCCAAAGACTTCGACATACAATTGTAATATTTCGGCATGAGATTTGCATCATAATGGAAATTGAGTATATAATCAATAAATTAAAAAATAACTTCTTTTTATCCCGTTGAAATTATGATTAGTTATTAACATCAAAATCTCCATATATTTTTTCATTTGAAAACCTAACATTCGACATGTTATCATCAGTACATATGAGAAACAAAATGCAAAACTATATAGAGGACATGTATGTATATATATATATATATGGGTGTATTTATCTCAAAATTTAATTTAAAATACAATTAAAGTGTAATTGCAACAGATAAACGAAAAATTTAAATGATAAAAACACATTAAAAATCAAAAGAAAATAAGAAGAAGACCAATGTAGTTGAAGAAAAGAAAAAAAGACTCACCCGGTCTATATAACAAAGTTCAGTGTTGGCTAAAGAGTTTCCGTATTAAGATATTTGGAGGAAGGAAATCTGAAAATGAGAAGAACGACAAGGTTTCCATGTATGTATATGTGTGTGCGTGTATATATAGTTTTTGCTTAGAAGAAAAAAAATGATTACTTAAACAATTTGGTGTTTGGATACAGTGGCGTTGCTGCTACTTGAAGTGTGGGGCGAAGGAACAGATGCTTGCACGTAATATTAAATAACACCCCCAAGTGAAACCAATCTTTATATAATATGAACAAAATCTGTCCATATATCTTTCTTTTTTGGGAAATCTTTACACCAACTCCTGAGTTGCATCCTCGTATTCAGATGAATGTCTTCTCCGAGGATATTTTTATTTAGATGGAGCATATCATAGTCCGAGAAAATGGTTGTTTGGCAACTGAGAAAATGATAGAAAATCAGAGAAAGAAATGGGAAAATTTGTGTGTCTGTTCATTCTTTGGAAGTTTGGAACCGTATCAACATTTAATACACAATTCTTTGGAACCGTAGCCACGTCACCTATGACAAAACTGAAAGGACAAAAATTTATCAGTTCACATCTGTCTTTGGACGTCAACTCCGACTCGTAGGATTGATTGTTTTCTCGGACATTAAGGAGAATGAAAGGTGTTCATGCGTCACTTTCACATGAATCTGTCTTATTTCTAATATGTCTGATTGATGTAATATAGCATCCCATATGATAAACTAACCAACATGTTCTATAGTTCCAAGGTTCAGGGAACACAAGTCAAAACCCAAAACTCCCAAGATAAAGTCACTGAAACACGGGGGATTATACGTCCGACAAAAATAACACAACACGTGAATTCTCAATGCCCCCACAAAAAAAGTTTTCCTTTTTCTTTATGGCACAAAGTAGATCGTAACAGAGAGGTGTTGGTTGCTGCAAACAACACATGAATCGGCCTAAAACAGGAGTTATTGCCGGTGAACTAACCAACCGGTAAAACTGGTGATAGGAAAACAAAAGAGAGGAAAAGAAGATTCGTACGGGTTTTTTTCGTTAACGTTTGACCCATTGGAAGCTCTTTCTTGCCTTCGCCTTTCCGGGTTTCTTCCTTTCCACCACTCTTGAATCCCTCGTCAAGAAACCAGCTGAAAAGTTTCACAAGAATAAAAAAGATATCCGAATCAGTTCGAAGTCGGCTTTGATACCAGATCAGAACAAACCTGACTCGCTCCTCAGCTCTAAGATATAATAGACGCAAATACAACTCTCAGATATCAAACATCCATCCGTATCTGTATATATAGGGCATGCCCTTGTATTTCTGCATATATGCCCGTATTTCGTACATTCATGTTTACAGTTACACTCAAGGCAGGGAATTAGCAGAAAACCAGAGTTTGGTAATGTACGATAATAAGACCGCAAAATGGTTCAGCGGTATGGTTTACCAGATCTCAGAGGCGGACGCAAGTCCGGTTCCCAGTTTTGCAGTGCCCTGCTGATACCCAACTGAATCGCCCCAACTTGACCTTTAAAAAAGCAGTTAAGGACAATTTGACTAAGGTTAGATAACTGTAATATACACTGATTACAGCAGTATTAACCAAACTATTTACTGAGAATAATTCTGCATTTGGTTCCCATTTAACAACTATTTGAATCTAAATGGTAGTACTAGTATGTAATTAATCCCATCAACCTGATTTCATCAGTTTAAGAAAGCCTAAAACATAAGAATGTGTAGTTCTAACCGATATTTTCTGATGTGCATCCCCTGGGAAGATACTTGAACTCAGATTGGATTACAAAATTTCAATCACGAAAAGTTCCAACAGGCTACTAAGGTTGTCATACGGCTTACCTGATACACCGCCGCCTTTAACAGTGCACTTGATATCCCAAAGACCCAAGGTTTTTGTCTCAGCAAGCGGACGTAGAAGAGCAGCACGATGATCAAGCATTGGGAAGTAGACATCAAAATCTTTCTCATTAACAAGGAACTTCCCCTCTCCAGGTTCAATCCAAACACGAGCAATGCTACATTTTCTTCTTCCGGTTCCATATGCTCTACCCTTCTCATCCACCTGTCTAACCCGTGATTTGGCCATCTCCTCTTGCTTCTGCAGCTCTATATCAGCTCGCGATGACTTTCTTAAACTTTTTTCATAGCGCATATCTCTGATCTCAGTCAGAGGGGGTAATCCCTCAATCCCTTGGAAATCCTTTAAGGCAATCAAACTGTCCAGCATTTCGTCTGTTATACCCGATTTCGCGATTAGGTCTCCAAACGCTCGATCAGGACCTGCGATAGTAAGTGCCTGATCAGTATAACTTCTAACTTTATCGTGACAGACAAAAAGGATACCAACTTCAAACGAAACACATGATAACACAGACCACCACTGCAGAAGATATCCAGACCATCAACTAGAAAATTCAGAACCAATACCTCCTGAGAGATTGAGTGTCAAACTAGTAATTTCATAACTGCGAAAGTCTGTCTCTTTCCAGCAAGTGCATTAGAAAGACAGGACACAATTAACCAAAAAACACATCAAATAAGCGCCAAACTACAAAATTCTTGGAACATAAAAGTCTACTGCATTAGCTTAAGGATCTTAAGCACCTGGGCTCTGGAAAATGTAGCAGATCTACTAACACGTACAACAGGAAAATCAATAGATTGATCATACTCGGATGATGGTCCATTCAAAAAGTTACCCGTGGTTCCATTATCAATGAAGTAAAGTCATCATCAACATTGATAGCTATCCATTTATTTCCGGAATCAAAATCTATAGACATTTCCAACATAGGAGGCACAGAATCGGAATCCACGAAGAAGAAACCCAGGAGCCAAAGAAACAAATCTTACCCTTGAGAATGGCAGAGAGCTCTTTCTCTTCCCTCTCAATCAGCTTCTGCTGCTCATTATCATAGGCTTCAGTGCTTGCCACGCTGCTCTCAAAGTCAGGCGCCATTTCGTCGCCTATATCGAATATATCATCCTTCACTTCCTCTTTCAAACTCCACGGCTTGTGCTCCTCTGCAGTCATGCAATCAACTCCGCCCTTCGCCACCGCCTCCTCCTCCTCGATGCCCTTGAACACATTTTCCCCTCCATCATCCTTCGCGTTCACCCAATCATCCCCTCCGGCGAGTGAATCGGATCCCGGCTTGTACCCCTCCGCCGTTAGCCAATCATCTCCGCCCTTCGCCGCCGCCTCCTCCTTCTCGATGCTCTTGAACACATTCTCTTCTCCATCATCCTTCGCGTTCAGCCAATCGTCCTCTCCGGCGAGTGAATCGGATCCCGGAACTCCTGATGGGGTGCCCGAATCTTCCCCGAAGACCGAACCGAACTTTTCCTCATTTTGTTGAGAAAATTTCCACGGATCGTCACTCCGATTGTAGCCGTTCCCGGACCCATCGCCGCCACTGTTGGTGGAGAGAGGTCGGATGAAGGAGGAGAAGATCCGAGGTTGTGATTTGGATGTAACTAGGGCTACGAGACGTAGATTTGAAGATCTGAGGAAGAAACGAGATAGCATGATGATGATGTACTGAGGAACGAAGGTCAGTGAGATTGCAAAGGGTACAGAGAACGGTAGGGTTTTAGCAAAGCGAACCACCCAATATTTCTAAACCGATCCGGTCCTTTAATCCCCGAACCGGACCGGTGCGGTAAAAAACAATATGTACATTTCCAAACACAAATAAGAACCCTTTTTCCTCCGCCTCTTCCCCGACGGAGTTGAGATCGGGAAATTCTTAAAATCCAAATTCTCTCTCATCAATTTGACTGGATCGAAAATGGTCTACATCGTTTCCTGGGACGAATTTGTCGATCGATCTGTTCAGCTGTTTCGAGCCGATCCCGAATCTGTAAACTTTTCTTCCGTCTCGTTCTTCTGCTTCTCTGTTGCTTCATTCATATTTTGTTTTCCGGATAATATTTGATAAACACCGACAGTGGGTTTGAATCTTATTGCGTTGGTTACGTTCTGATGCCGCGGATGCAATGTATTTTTTCTTTCAAGTTTTTCCTTCTTGTGGATTTTGATTCTTTCGTCGGCAGCCGACACACATTCTATGTATAGTTTCAGGAAAAGTTTATCATGGATCCATGGATTGTTTGTAGAGAATTTTCTGGCTGATGATCTAATTTGTGGTACAGACAAGGTATACCATGAAGTATAGGCACTGTGACGGCAAGTTGGTTCTTAAGGTTACTGATAATAAGGAGGTAGTCACTCTTTC